TAGATATAGACATCTTTTACAATTCTCTATAAGTCTATTCAGATGAAAGAGCCAATATTTTCAAAGAGATTTGGTCCCACCTATAAGATGACAGCCTCAAGTGCAAGTTATTCATTGCTACTCAGAAGGGAGAACAGAGGTCTTGTAAGTGGGTTTCAGCTCTTCTATCTCCCTCCAGTAGCTTCTCCTTCTTTGAAGACCTTTTGCAAAATGACCTTCATGCTCTCCTTGGACTGAGCTCCTTTTTTCCTGCCAACTAGAAAGTAGATCACTGGGTTTATGCTGCTGTTTAGGCAGGAAAACAGCATAGTACACGTCATCCAGTATATCACTTGAGTGTCACTTGAAAACATAATCACTCCAAAGATACATAGTGGAAAATCAAGGATGAGGAAACAGAGAAGGGTAATTAAAATCATCAGTAAAAGCCGACCCTTTTTTTTCTGTTTAGGTTTAAGACACACTTTGGTGAAAAGGACCACAGTAGAGATTGTGATAAATGGAAGGCATATTATAGCTATCAGAAGGAAATAGGTAAGAATCAGTTCGTATTCTAGAAAGATTTCCATAATGCTCATAATTCCACTCAGGAGGAAAGAGGAAATCCACAGGAGGATACACACAATGGAGGACAAATGTTTTGGCCGAGAACAGCGATGCCAGATTGGGAAGAGGACACAAACACACCGGTCGATGCTGATGGCCGTCAGAAGAAAGTTTGCATTGATGAACATCACTTGGGCAGAACAGAAAGCACAGTGGTACAATATTTTACTTCCTTGAAAATCAGTAAATGAATTGATAATAAATAGAACTATAGATGCGAGGTACCCAAAGTCTGCAATGGCCAAGTTAAGAATGAATGTAGTGAAGCAGTTTCTCCTAATCTGGAAGCCAAGTAGCCAGATGATGTAGCCATTGCCCACCAAGCCAACACAGCAGGTAATTAAAGTAAGGCCTTTCCAAAGAATCCATTCTGAAAAAGCGGTGATCTCCCTTGCATTCTCATATGAGTCATTTGTATAGTTATTCCTGTAATAGATCTCTGCAGCATCCACATCTTCCTGGCTGGAGTTCATCATTAATCTGTTATAAATCTCTGAAAATCTTTTTGAATGGAAGCTCCTATTAGAAGAAAAGAAAGAACAGTGTGTGATTCGGGTTAATGTCAGGCTTCCAAAAGTAAATCAGAGTCCAGGGCAAAGTATTGCTCAAAGTTCCAATTTATTAGGAGAGCCATGTTGGCACTTCTGGGAAAACCCAAATCTGAGCTTCCCGGTTTTTCCACCCAGTTGTAAGTTCAAGATCTTGCCCCCCACACCCACAAGTCCATCCCATGGTCCAATCTTTCACTGCCATGCTGGCAGTCCCACCCTTCCAGTTCTGGTCAGGTGCTGAGGTGCAAAGACAAAGGAAGACCTTGGCGTTCTAGAAAGAATGTTGTTATGGCTACATGGCATCTTACTCCTATAATCCCCCCTCTCATTTCCCCACAATAGAAAATGCATAGTAGAATAGTGGACTCAGTAATTTCTGTCTCCTAAACCAGTGGTCTTTCTGGCTCAGGGGACCAGCGGGGGGACGAAGGCAGTGGGTCGGGGGGAGAGAGGGGATGGCTTTGCACATAGGTGTACAGCTTTCACAAATGCAGCTTTGTACTTGCATGCATGTGCTTGTGCATGACTTCGGCTGGGTTCCTAATAGGCTGCTGACCATCAACAGGTCATGTACCACAGGTTGGGCTCCCCTGTCCTAAATAATACCATTATTACCAAAGCTTCCACTATCTAAGGGTTTGACACAAAGAAGATGAGGTCAACCTAGTCTCCAAATCACCTGAAGGCAGAACGAGAACAATTGTGGGTTCCAGACAGTTTATACTTACATTGTTCTGTGTGATAGCTAAAAGTAGGTTGACTAAGACAAGGGTTCTCAACCTGTGGGTCACGACCTTTTGGGGTCGTTGAAACCAGCACAACTTTAAACTTTAGATTCCACCTCACGTTCCTTGAAATCTCCTGTGGATGGGCTCCGGAGTCATCGCCGGCC